CACAAACAAATGGTGAAATAAAAATGAACCAGAAAAGATACATCACAAACATTTTGAAGAGATTTGACATGACTCACTGCAAACCAAGATCAACACCATGTGAAATAAAAATGAAATTTGACAATGATGGTAAACCTGCTGATTCAAAGAGGTATTGTGAAGTGGTTGGCAGTTTAATTTATGTAATGACAAGTACTCACCCAGATTTGAGTTTTATTGTTAGTAAATTGTCACAATATCTATCTGTACCAAAAGAACAACATTGGGTTGCAGCTGTTGTGTTGAGATATTTGAAAGGCACTGTGGACCTGGAATTGTGTTATAAGAAAAATGATACAAATCTTAAACTTGTGGCCTATAGTGATGCAGACTGGGCAGCAGACCTGAATGACAGGCATAGTGTTACTGGTTACGGTTTTAGTTTGTCTGAGAGTGGGCCTATTATTTCCTGGAAGTCAAAGAAACAACAAACTGTTGCTTTATCCACACGTGAAGCTGAATACATGGCTTCATCAGCTACTACACAGGAAAGCCTGTATCTTGTCAATTTAATAAATGGAATGGACCGTGTACTTGAATATGCACCAGTGACAGTTTTTGAGGACAATCAAGGTGCTATTTCAAAAAACCCTGTATGTCGTCAGAGGTTTAAGCATATTGACATTAGATATCATTTTGTCCGATCTGTACTCACTGATGGCAAAATAACTCTTCATTACTGTTCTACAGTTGATATGGTGGCAGATATTTTAACTAAATCTGTATCTAGAATCAGAATGGATACATTTGTGTTTTCTATTTGGTATGTGATGCACTGTGTTGTACTCTGTCAATCTAAGAACAAGTGGGGGTGTTGAGTTATGTCATTGTATATGTTCTCAATTGACCCTGTGACCTAGTTTCTGGAAGTGGGTGGGGTGACACACTTATGGAAGTGGGTGGGGTGACGCGCAATTATTAATAAATGGCCACTGCTCATTCTCAGTGTAGTGTGCATGCAGGCCAAACGGAATTTGACTGTCTGTGTGTTAAGTTTTTATCCTCCGCTATGAGAACCGGCATTCCCAGCTCTTTTGGGGATGGCTGCACCAACATGTTCAATTTTTCTTTTTCTTTTCAATGACATACCATGACTGTGAATTAAAGACTTTCTGATTCGATGTATGACATTTTTAAGGCCTTCATTTGTGGAAAGGAGTATTAAGACTTTTTTAAGACCCTGTATACATGCATAAAACCTCCTTCATATTCATGACATGTGTCATGTCATGATTATGAAGGTGTCATGTCAGTCTTATGCACACCCCTTCAAGTAAAGTGTTACCTATATAACACATAATGATACATTTTTATTGTAAAATTATATATATATATATACACATACATACATACATACACATATATATATATACTTTTTTTTAAAGTATACATTGGTGTCTTAACAAAGCACTTAAAAGCTGATTCACAAACCTTAGCCTAGCATAAAGTTTAACCTGGATATGGCATATATATTACCTGAGGGATATCCCCACACCTAACTGCTCCACAGACGACAGGCTTCGAGTCTTTACACTGTGGTCCACCACTGAAACAAAAAAAAGACAAAAAAGAAAAAATAAAGAAATTACTTCCCATTTGCACCTCCTCTTCAAATACCCATTTCATTTTGGTAAATGGAGCACAGAGTAGCAAAAGAGCACTGCAAAATGTGCTGTTAAATAATACATTTTCATCTCAGCATCGGCTTACCCACAAATCAACATCAGATACGTAATCTACACTCATCATGCTTAAGAACGGCCTTAATTGTGTGAATGCCCTTGGTGAGACGGATACGGGCCCACTGATATAATTATGGGGCCATTCCTCCATCCTCATTAATATAACAACAATGTCAGGATTGTAATGATGACGACATAATGCAGATAGATGTGCACCTTATGAAGTGACTGGTCTTGACTGGCTGGCAAATTAACCAATTGGAAAGAAGGGTTTAGGCGGAATGAGAAATCATACTTCCTGCTGCTCACATCAGTCAGCAATTATGATATGAAGTGAGATGAAGTGTGACAACCCGTCCCTAATCCTCTGCTAAATAAGAGGGGAGGATACAGACCCAGAGGCAGACGAAGGGAGGACACGAATGCTAAAGTAACATGACACCATAATACTTTTCATGTCAGGCATCCATACATATATCCTATTTAGGAAGTTTGAGCATTCGGACATCTGATTAATTTATCAAATTCTCACTAATTCATCTATCATTTAAAACTTTACCCAGAAGCTGAACTTTATGTCTTCTTTCTATAGTAAAATCAATATTTAATCAATAATAATCAAAAAGTATTAAAAAAGTACTAAAGCATAAAGATGCTAGAAACATTTTCACTCGTAGTCTCCGACTTCATAAATTAAAGCATTAGATGCTTGTCATTAAATTAAAAGTTCATGAGCCTGCCAGAAGCCAAACCACTAATAATCTCCCAAGCTAACTGATCCCTGACCCTCACCATACTTAAAAACGAGTTATCAAAGTCTTTCAAAGTATGAAAACGTGAACTCTCTGACATTAAAAAGGAAATTTGATGCTTTGAGAGAGAAGTCATTTTGAAAGATGTTTAATTGATTTAAATTGATTACTTTTAAAATACAAAGCAAAATCATCATACATTTCAACAATAATATGTTGAGAGGAGGGTGAATTTTGTCAAATCTTTCTTTTGAAGTGGTCACATTACTCAAGCTCAAGCCAGCAGATATTCCTTGCAGCTGGGATTTAAACAAAAGAGCATGACCAATATTATTTCTGAGAACCATATATGTTTAATAAATGAAAACCCCACAGAGTCTCAACTCATTTTTTTATAATTCTGTTTGCGTGAATAGAAAGCTGACAAATCCCGTCCAGATGGATTTTTACAAGGAGCATACCATGGTGAACTAACAGCATGTCCTAATCAGGTGGGATGCAGAAAGTTTCAAGCAGAAATGTTTCTATCACAGTCACATCCAATCAGAAAATATGTCATGTTTAATGTATAGTTATGAGAAGCAGGACAATGATACACGAAAGTATATTCATAAATACCCTTGTGTTTTTTTAAATTCCATATTAGCCCTCAGAAGTGAATGATATCTCTGTAAGCTGTTTGCAAATTGGTCACATAAATAAAAAAAAATCCTTTCATTAAAGTGCTGTTGACTGACCTTTATATTCTGCCGGTGGAAAGAAGCAGTCAGTGGATAAAGATGACAGATGCAGCACGACCCTCTCCAACAGATCAGCAAGTACTGTGAGAGAAAAGAAACCTGAACCATCAAGGCAATTTCCTTTGAATGAAACCTCAAATCTTCAGCAAAAGAGCCTCTGTCATATAAATAGTGGTTGTTAGGGATATCAAAGAATGTCTTGAGCTACACTATATTGAGTTTAAAAACAGATTTCTTCCCTGAGAAAGTGTGCTTGTAAACTCATTTCTTTAGTGTAGCATGTATTTTCTTGTTTGTTGAAATGCATAACTCCAACAATGCTTAAGACTCAGACTACACAATGAGAAAGTATGCTGAGTGACTGTTACTCGAATATTACTTTAAAATAAGACAGAAAAGCCTAACAGTGTTACTCTGAATCAGGCATTGACAGGCATAGAGTAACAGCATGTACTAAGACACTAGCCAGTGTTAAACTTTCACAATAGAACTATATCCTTGAAATATTTTACTCTTAATCCAGAAAAACATAACATGTAATTAGAGGGTTTTACAGCTCTATCATTAATATACAGAAAAATCAGAAGGTAAATATCAAGAAAAACACATATACAGTACTGTAATAGACATCAAGGAACATTGTAAATAAATGCAAATAACTTTGGTTTAAAAAGCAAGTGTGCACTTCACGTTGCAAACAATCTATTCTGCATTTATAGAAACTGGTCTTGCAGAATTAGAGATACATATTATGAATATACATATACATTATTATGAATATATGATATGATAGTATACCGGTCCACTCTGCTGTTATGCCAAGGACTTTTTTGCTCATGTGAAGAGGATGATCTTTTCCGTCTATATGCGAATGCGTGTAAAGTACAAGCCTAGTTTACATTATAAATAATAGTTTAACATTCAAATACATAGAGAATATGGAAACATTTGTATTTGTGCTGAATGAGACGCGAGTAATAACCTCCAAATACATCTAGCCAAACCTGCGCTCGCTCCGTCCTCGTATGCACGCAAGCATGTAAGTCACGATCGAATGCACTGTAAATGCCGGATTTTTAAAAACAAATATTACAGCTCTATCATTAATATACAGAAAAATCAGAAGGTAAATATCAAGAAAAACACATATACAGTACTGTAATAGACATCAAGGAACATTGTAAATAAATGCAAATAACTTTGGTTTAAAAAGCAAGTGTGCACTTCACGTTGCAAACAATCTATTCTGCATTTATAGAAACTGGTCTTGCAGAATTAGAGATACATATTATGAATATACATATACATTATTATGAATATATGATATGATAGTATACCGGTCCACTCTGCTGTTATGCCAAGGACTTTTTTGCTTATGTGAAGAGGATGATCTTTTCCGTCTATATGCGAATGCGTGTAAAGTACAAGCCTAGTTTACATTATAAATAATAGTTTAACATTCAAATACATTGCGAATATGGAAATTTTTGTATTTGTGCCGAATGAGACGTGAGTAATAACCTCCAAATACATCTAGCCAAACCTGCGCTCGCTCCGTCCTTGTATGCACGCAAGCATGTACTGTCACGATCTAATGCACTGTAAATGCCGGATTTTTAAAAACAAATAGGCCTACCAGAAAGCAAAAATTTTAAATCTGACATTTTCCGGAATAGGATACAGCAAGATCAAATTAAGTACTGGTCATAATACTCACATACAAATGTTTCATGTTAGCATGTTAGCAAATGTTAGCAAACAGTGTGTTTTGCTGCAGCAGCGCCGATGGAAGCGGTTCACTGACTGCGCAGCACAGCCACA